ATTGACTGTCACATTATAACGCCCCCACGGCTGAAAGGGCGAGCATGTTTGGTGTGACTGGGATTCGAACCCGCGCCCCTCAAGCAAATTTTGAAAAAAAATAATGATATTTTCTCAAAATCTATAGGATGTAAAATTTATTAAATTAACATATAGTACCTATAATAAAGCAGTTGTTGAACAATGCAAAACAAATTCAATAATAAACTTTAAATACATACGGATAAGGGATGAACAATTATGTAGGAGAAACTCAGAAATGAAATACCGGAAATATAAAGAATAAGAAAGGAAAAAAAAGTAAAAAAATCACAGAACAAAATGCAGGATGAAAATGAAAAGTTTATGATGCAGATGATAATAATGGTTTAATCTGCTTGGATTTAAATGGTCATAATCTTGACAAAAAAAATATAAGAACATTTGTTTGTTTTGAATTTCTGCACTAGTCGTCCCTAATTTAGCAGTGTAAGACTAGAGGGAAGGCAGCTAGTCAAACCCACCCACCGCCAACTCATGGGCTACTCTTTTAGCCCATGAGTAGTGGGATTGACCATCACATTATAACGCCCCCACGGCTGAAAGAGCGAGCATGTTTGGTGGGACGGGGATTCGAACGCGGGACCCTCAGATTGCGAGTCGAGTGCCCTAACCACCTGGCCATGCCGGGCCAACAACATAAGAAGTATTAGAGATAAGTTTGAAAAAATTATAACTCATGTAATTAAAAAAATAGCCAAAGAACATCTTTTATTATTATTATTATTTACATTCAGTCTCGCAATGGCATAGCGGGATGTCTGCGGACTTATAACACAAGAAACCGGGTTACAAAACTTGTGCTGGGTGGAGCACAGATAGCCAGCCCATTGTGTAGCTTTGCGCTTAACTACAAACAAACAAAATACTTATCTCCAGCCCCCCAGTGGCACAGCGGTATGTCTGCGGACTTACAACGCTAGAATCCGGGTTTCGATACCCGTGGTGGGCAGAGCACAGATAGCCCATTGTGTAGCTTTGTGCTTAATTACAAACAAACTTATCTCCACAAAAAAAAAGGGGAGGGACTATTATTTACGAGAAAGTAAGAAATGAAATGTCAGAAATATAGAGAATAAGAAACATTATAGAACAAAATGGAGGATGAAAATTTAAAAGTTCTTGATGCAAATAATAATGTAATAAAAAACACCTTAGGTGTGAAAAAAGCTGCGGCCAAAAATGATTAAGCATGCGACTGAACGGTAAAGGTGGAACAGAGAAGACAGAGGGTATGTCCCGATTAATTGTTTATGGATAGATGAAAAAAGACATTGAACTTTTTGAAATGTTGCAGTGAGTGTGTGTTTGTGTTTGAAATTATAAAATATCAAACAAAGAGTGTGAACTGTAATGTAATATATGTGTTTCACAAATGAAGGTATGTGGTGAAACAATTTAACGAAGGGTATGATAGAACTTCGGAATTAAAGAGCCCGGAATAACATCAAAATTAGAAAGAAACAGAGACGAGACTGGATATATTCTATTCAAGAAAAGGAGGAAGATGTGCTATAAGTTCGGTGTAAGAATCGGTTGGGGTTGAGAGAGGTGAGATAGCAGCTGACTTTTAGTCAGTCCCTGTAGGATTAAGAGATTACAGCAGTAAATGGTTAAATAATATTAGAAGAGCAGCCACCTTTCTAAGTTGAGCGGATTTGGAAGCTACAAGAGCCCTTGTGATTATGAGACGTTTTGATCCGATATAAGGGAAACAGGTGTGTTTAGCATGGTTTGAATAAATGGACAGAAACGAAGGAAGAAATATGCTGCCAGTAAGAACCAAAACTAGTTCTAAGACTATGTGTTATTGATCATAGTAATAAGTTAAATAAAATAAACATAAATAGTAATTTAGATTGTTTAAATTTGGTGTGGGTCAATTCCTGATACACATAAGTAAATACTTAATAATGTTGAAGAGAAATGACGTAATTATCGTAACAGTCAACCCATAATAAAGTGGTGTTAGAAGATGACCCACAACACTCATCAGGACAAGGCCTGCTTCCTTTGCATTCATAACATTTCTTACAACTGGATCACATATCACATTAATGAATGGTCAAGCAGTGACTCCTCATTTCGAAAACATAAAACAATCTGTTCAGCCACTCAGCCTTCCCAAACCATAACTGATCTGGAACTCAAATGGCCATCTTAATAAATGATGCTACACTGAATATACTGTTCAATTCAGACACTAACTCGTAGAGACTTCATAATTTCTCTTAACTGTGAAGAATACCGGAGTCTACTGGCGTCACTGCCAATTCTTGTGATCTAAATCTTCATTCGAGTTATTCAGTATTATGGAGTCATATTCGAGATTGAACCAGGTCATTGATAATTACTCCAGTCGGGGTATCGAATTGATCATATGGACTGTGTAGTGGCGGCTTTTACGGGCGGTGTTTTGCAGAGAGAGGATATTATACAGTACTAACATAAAAGCCCATCAAAAATGACGGGTAACCACTGGAAACCAAAACTATTCCATATAAAACTGGCAATACTCAAAAGAAATAAATTAAAGAAGTATAAAATTTCCTTTCCCAGGAACATACTACATATTGCTCCTGAATCCACCACATATAACTGAGCAAGCATGCTATATATTGGTGCCTTTAGATAAAAGATTAAAATATACATATAACCATGTGATTGCATACACACACATGTTCTTCTTCTGAGGAAAATTTATCCTTTTTCCTACAGATAGTGAGTATCTTCAGTCTGTTTTGACAAGGGGTTTTTCTTAATAATTTCCAAGCACATATTTGCGCTAATTTTTAACTTATTTTTCACAGGCGTTGATAGGGTGCGAATTTTCTTCCGTGTCTTCAATCACCGGAATCTTCCTGGCTTTCCTATTTGATTTCTACTTTGCTTGACGTCATAATGATATGGATGATGTTGTGTCACATACATAACGCCATGCCTGATCTGGTTCTGGGAACTACCTCCTTGACAGGTTTTTATATAGCAGAAAAAGTGCCGAAATTTAGGAGCTATTTACGCTTATGTTAGCGATTACATTCAACAAAAATGGGAATGGGCAATCAAAAGAGGAAGTATTATTGGAGAAAAGTTGAATTGGATTCGGGTAATTCACAAAATTCGGAGAAATCGAGCGTGTCCAACAGACTGGTCGACTAATAATTGGCTTTTATATATACTGATTATTTACTTTTCGTAACCTTTTCCAATTTATGTGTCCCTGTATGTTTCTGGTTTAAATATTTCATTAGCTCCAACAGTTTGTATTTTGGTAATTTTCCAGACCGTACTAAATGCCATTAATTTCGCAGTATAGTATAGGTCAAATAGTAATGACATA